GCCAGACACCGGATCCCGGGGGACTGTGGCAAGGAGGGCACCTGAGGCGGCCTCGGTACAGATAGTGTACCGCTTGTGACTAGGGAACGTAGTGGTGACGCCGAGGTCCTAAAGACAGCAGACACCAACTACGTTCCGGAGAATGAAGGGATGTGCTGGCCTATAAGAGAACCGGAGGGAACCGCTGGGCAGAGACGGGCGATGTAGCTACGAGCAACGATAGGACCGGAGGAGGGGTCAGCAAGTGCGAGAGCAGTAGGTGCGGCACGTGGAGTCAGCGAGGCGTGGTCACGGAAGAAGCAGGCAGACGCACCAGAGTTAAGCGTAAAGGACAGTGAAGCTTAAGCTGCGGCGGTGGACGAGCGAGCGTGGAGCCTAGACTAGACAAGGCAGAAGGTCCACGCAGCAAGGGAGTCTGTACTATACACAGGTACCACACCTAACCTACGTAACACAGGGTAATAAGATCTGGGCACACTAGAAACATAGGCATACAGAGAATGCAAGATAGTATAGATTTGATCCATATCTAACTCAAAGACAGGAGCACCGTGACGCAGCAAACTGGCCCAGTCAGGGAGGTCTGGCGTCCCGACAAAGCGGCGATGAAAGAGATCGTCGAGGCGGCGGAAACTGCGGGCGGTCGGGTGCGGGCGACGACACACAGTGCCGCAGAGGGGGCCGGTTTGTAGCTGGTACTGGCAATCCCCAGCACAGAGGCTACCGACTGACGCTGAGCTGCGAGGGCCGCCACCGCGGCCACCACCGCTAGAGGCACCTGGCCACCCCGGCTGGAGGCGGGCCCACGACTGCTGCTGCTGCGGCTGCTATTGCTGCTGCTGCGATGGCGGCTGCTGCTACTACTTCTGCTGCTGCTGCTCCTGGGCACCAGCCCCGGTCCCCTCGTCGGACCCACTCTCCCCGCCGCCACCACCACCACCTCCACCACCCCCACCACCCTCGTCACCACGCCCCCCTTTGGGGCCCCAACGACCCCGACGCTAGCGCGGCTGCGTGGAGGCCACAGCTGCGTTCTCAACGGCTAGGGTTGTCACGGCGACAGAGGATAAAATGTAAGCGTATGTGCGCTGGGAGGGCGCACAGCCCTGAAAGATAGGGACTGCCGCAGTACCGCTCGGCTAAGCGATAGTGCGCTAGCGAGTCTCTATCTCACACAGGGCGGTGACAAAGGCGATAAGGGTGAGGTCACCTGGATGCTGACTAAGGAACTGGTCGTGGGCAGTGGATAAGTGGTCCAGAAGGCACATAGCAATGAGGTACAGGGTAGCGCAGAATGGCGGGGGGAAGGCAGTGAGCTGGGCCTCAGTGCTAGTGGTGCAGTGGCTAGCCTCTAGTGCATGGAGGTGAGTGGCTAGGTTATCTACAGTGGGGAAGGCCGCGTGATCAGGGAACAACATGAGGAGGATCAAATGGCTATCAGAGGCAGAGGCGGGCGTGGAATAGCGCGCAACTACAGCATCAAAGAGGTCGTTGGCATTGGCGACAGTAGTGAAGCACGGACACTCAGACAGGGGAAGAGCATGACTAATGGCAAGCTGCGCTTCGATATCGCGTGACTTCCAGACAACGCGAGCAAGCGTAGCAGCAGAAAAGGCCTCACGCTGAGCAGTGGTGGGGTCAGCAGGGAGGGGATCAGGTGCGGGGGGGCGGGGAAGCAAGCCATCGTCATGCACAGCCAGGGAGTGCCCATCCTGGCGCTGACCTGTGAGATGACGGCGAAGATCGACAAGCCAGGTGGCGAAGTCAAGTGCGTGCCCCTCCACGTCCAGGCGGAGTACAGAGTCCGCCATTGTTCAACCTCAGCGGCCCGAGTCCACGGCGGCACGGCGGCACTACAATACAGCGGCACAGCGACACAGCTAACCAAGTACACAGCGGCACAACGACTCAGTAACATGGCGGCACAATGCCACGGTGGCCTGGCTCCACGGCAGAACGGACGGCGACCACAACGGAGGCCCACGAGGCGCGCAGACCGGTGGGAGCGTGGAAGGCCGGGCGGCGCGCACAGGGCCAGCGGCGTGTAAAAGGACCGACTGGGGCACAAGGGGCCAGCAGGGGCGCGAGGAGGCTGACAGGGCGTGAGGAGCCAGCGGAGCGCGATGGGCCGGCGGGGCGCGAAGGGCCTTGCGGGGCACGCAAGAGGGCCCGCAGGGCGCGAAGGACCGGCGGGGCGCAAGGGCCGGGCGGGGCGAGCAAGGGACTAGTGGGGCGCGAGGGTCCAGCGGGGCGCGAAGGACCAGCGGGGCTCAAGGGCCGGGCAGGGCACGTAAGGGACCAGCAGGGCGCGAGGGCCAGGCGGGGTGCGCAAGGGACCAGCGGGGTGTGAGGGGCCGGCGGGGCGCAAGGGACCAGCGGGGCACAAGGGGCCGGCGGGGCGCGAGGGGCCAGCGGAGCGCAAAGGACCAACGGGGCTCGAGGGCCGGGCGGGGCGCGTAAGGGACAAGCGGGGCGCATAAGGGACCAGCGGGGCATGAGGGGGTGGCGGGGCGCGAAGGGCCGGCAGGGTGCGAGGGTCTAGCGGGGCGCGTAAGGGACCAGCGGGGCACGAGGGGCCGGCAGAGCGCGCAAGGGACCAGCAGGGCACGAACGGGACGCTGGCGGTGCGCTGAGGGCTAGCGGGGAGCTGAGGGCTAGTGGGGCGCGCTAAGGCCAGCGGGGCGCTAAACGGGAATGGCGGGGTGCTAGGCTAGGACGAGGGCAGAAGCGGGTGGGTGAACCTAACCTACTATGATACCATGGTAGAGTAGCGTAATAAACTAGAAAGTAGAGTACATGGTGGTTTTGACCTAAAATGTTGTACTCGCTAAGGCATGACCCTAACTAGTCTACAGCAACGTATACAAATATGTTTGACACATATATCTTTGCTGGCCCTTCGTTGATTGGGCGGGAGCAGGTGCTCAAGAAGTTCGTAGCGACGATTTTGGTTGGTTGACGAAAGCTCTACAATTTCGCCAGCTTCTGGTTCGACAAGTTTGATTGGTCATTAGCATTGAGATACCGTATAAGCCCGGATATAAGACCCCTGGGTCATTTTTGTAACAAAAATAATTCTATAGGCTGGCTAGTTTATATTTGATATAGCCTTAGTTAGGTCAGTTCTTAGAGGGTACAGTCCTACCTTTGTAACCCTCGACATTTTCCCTTAGTTCATCATTCTCTCCACAATCTTACATAGCATCTAGAGCTAGGTCTCGCCCTCTACTCACGCTTCCACCCTAGCACACCCTAGCCTAGCGCGCCTTGTAGCTCGTCCCCTCCCCGCCCTCTCCTATTCGTCGCGTAGCTCACGCCAGCCACCATTCGCCCGTGCCCACCAGCGTCTTAGTTCGTAGTCGTCCCGCCTGCTCGCCAGCTTGCCAGCCCGCCTGCTCGCCAGCTACAGTAGCACGCTCACCAGCTCACACGCTCGCCCGCCCGCCTGCTCGCCTGCACGCTAGCCCGCCAGCCCGCCAGCTCGCCAACTCACACGCTCGCCAACCCGCCTGCTCGCTAGCCCGCCAGGCCGCCAGCTCGCCAGCTCGCACGCTCACCTGCTCGCCAGCCCGCCTGCTTGTCTACTCGCTAGCCCGCCAACCCACCTGCTTGGCAGCTCGCACGCTCGCCTGCTCGCCCGCCCGCCCGCCTGCTCGCCTGCCCGCCTACTCGTCAGCCCACCAACTCGCTTGCTCGCCAGCCCACCTACTCGCTTGCTCGCCAGCCCACCAGTGTGCCAGCTTGCTAGTTCGCACGCTCGCCTGACCACCTGCTCGCCTCCTCTCCTGCTCGCCTGCTCACCAGCCCGCCTTTTCGCCAGCTCGCACGCTCGCCTGCTCGTCCGCCCGCCTACTTGCCTGTTTGCCAGCCCGCCTGCTCGCCTGCTTGCCAGCCCGTCTACTTGCCAGCGTGCCTGCTCGCCAGCACGCCTGTTCGCCAGCTCACCTGCTCGCCTGCGTGCTCGCTCGTCTTCTCACCAGCCCGCCTGCTCGCCAGCTTGCACCCTCGCCTGCTCGCCCGCCCGCTTGCTCGCCTGCCTGCCAGCAGCGCCAGCAGCCAGTGCCAACAGCCAGCAGCCAGCTCACTGGCTCACTAGTGCCTCCAACGTCAGCAGCTCGCGCCAGCTCACCAGTGCCAGCAGCGAGCACCAGCGCCAGCCACCAGCGCCAACAGCCAGTAGCTAGCGCCAGCCGCCAGCAGCCAACAGCCCACTGCCAGCAGCCAGCAGAGGCTGCTGCCGCCCACTGCCACTACCGCAGCTACTACTGCCCGCTGCCACCTACTGCCGCCCACTGTCGTTGCAGCCACCACTACCGCAGCCACTGCTGCCGCCACTGCAGCCGCTGCCGCTACAGCCGCCGCTGCCTCTGCAGTGGCCGCTGCTACTCTTGTCGCCACTGCTGTTGCCCACCGTTAGCAACCGGCCACCAGCCGCCAGCACCAAACCCCAGCCGCCAGCAGCCGACCGCCGATCCCCAGCCGTCAACCGCCAACTGCCACCAGCCGCCAGTGGCAGTCAGTCGCTAACGCCTGTCGCCGGTCGAATGCCTGCCCCGTGAGTCCCCCGTGCCCTATGGACTGTCCTTCGCCCTGTGCCACTAGTCTTAGTTCCTCCTAGCTAGCTCCTTGGCGAACTGCTCCTAGTAGATGCTCTCGTGCATACTTCCTCCTCGTTTGCTCCCCACTCCTCGTAGCAGCTCCTAGCCTACCGCTAGCCGCTAGCTAGTTGCTACTGCCATCTTACTGTCACTAGCCGCTGCTGCTACTAGCCTTGTGCTCGCTGCCACTGCTCTGGCCACAGTCGCCACTGCTCCGGCCACAGTCACCACTGCTCCAGCCACGGTCGCCACTTCTACTACCTCTGATTGTACTGCTCTAGCACCTAGTGCCTCCCACTAGTCTCCTCCTCGTTTCTAGAGTTCCTCGACGCCTCTCCCCTTGACATGATGGCCTCGTTCGGGTCTGTCCCTAGGCTAGACCACTGGGAACTTCCCTCTGCTCACCGATTTCTTGCCCACCATCTACAGCTGATGAGCCCACACATAGACTACGTGCTCTTAGAGGATCACATTAGTTACCTCCTTACCTTCTGGCTCCACAGCCTCGACGTCTGCTTTCGAGCTATCTGGCCAGTGCCATAGCTGCAGCAGCAGCAGAAGCAGCCGCAGCAGCAGCGGCAGCAACCGCAGTGGGGTCTTTGGGGTGTTGGGCGAGGTGGAGGCTCTAGAGGTGCGGCCCCGGTGCGGTCACTGCCCTGGGGCCACTGTGGTTTCTCTGGAGGACTGGGGGTCTTGGAGCTTAGGGGTATAGGTCCCACCACTGTCTCTAGTCTAGGAGCCTCTACAACGCATCCCCTATGGTCCTCCCCTGCCCCTCCTACGGCGTCCCTCTCCTTTATCCTTGACTCAGGCGTGTCTCGTTGCTTAGAAATAGTACTGTTCCCACCCCACCTCCTGCGCCTATCCACGTCGCACTAGCAGACTCCTCCGCCATAGCTGTCGCACGTAGCACCACCACTCTCCCTTGTCCAGCTAACCCCTCTGGCTCTCTCACCGGTCTGCACATCCCCTCGTTTGCCAGGAACCTAGTGGGTATCGGTCACCTTCAGACTGAGATGTCACCACTACGTTGCCTGGGCGCGAGAGACACGCCGCTTGCACAGACACAGCCACCGATCGGCACTTAGCCACTTTGAGCACGACACTGCGTTAGGACTAACTGCACACAGAGTTCCTGCCGACGGTTGCGTCTACCGCGTTTGCCGCGTCCAGCTCCTGTTGCTCCATAGCCCACCCGACCGTTCTGTTACACCACCGCTTGGGTCACCCTGCACTCCCGCGTCTTGGGCACATGTCCCAGCATGGTCTAGTCACTAGTCTCCCTGCGTCGCTTCCCGCCCTACCTACGTTGGTAGCGCCACTGTGCACGTCCTGCGTCGAGGGCCGGCAGCGCGTCGCCCCTCACTCCTCCTCATTTCCCCTTACCACAGCGCCACTATACTGTAGTTGCTGCAAATGGACGTCTGGGGCCCTGCCCCGGTCCCTGGTCTTAGTTGGGAGCGGTAGTTTCTTGTCGTCGTTGACGACTTCTCGCGCTTCACCACATTGTTCTCGTTGGAGAGGAAGGCCGACGTGCCTACCGTTCTCCTCCCGTGGCTTGTTACTATTCGCACCCACCACCGCCTGCCTGTAGGTCGCTTACACTCTGACCATGGTGGCGAGTTTGCCTCTGGCACCCAAGGAGAGTTTTGTCTTGCGGAGGGCATCCGCCAGACGTACACACTGCCGGGCTCCCCGCAGCGGAATGGGGTCGCTGAGCGACGCATCGGCCTGATTATGGAGGTAGCTCGCACCTCCATGGTCCATGCCAATGCACCCCATTTTCTGTGGCCGTTCGCCGTGCGCTACTCTGCTCACCAGCTTAACCAGTGGCCACGCTCCCAGCGGCCACAGGTTTCGCCGACCCTCCTCTGGACCAGGTCTCCTGGTGACGCGTCTGCATTCCACGTCTAGGGCAGCCTTGCTCACGACCACAACACCCGCGTGGACAAGCTCTCAGCCCGCACCCTTCCTTGTGTCTTCCTGGGGTTTCTGACGCCTCTGAATGTGTCACAGGATCGAATGCGACGAGGAAAAGTTGCACCATCGATTGATACAAGGTGCTTGTATACTTCCAAAGTACATCAGGTAACCAGGTTTATCCTATCCAAAGGGAATTGACCCTTCTAGAAATAGAATCACCCTGCATATAGCCACGCGAGGCTATTGGCTTGAAGGGATTATGGTAGGATTACGCAAGATATAGCGCGCCAGTACATCCCGAGCCTGGTTGGTGATATAATTATAATAACAGGATAAACCAAAGGATAATGGAATAGGAGGAATAGGAAGCCACATGAGATGAGATAATACGAGGAATGAAATAGAATGGAGATATGGAAAGGGAAATTGGTGTAACAGGGTCGTACTCTCACACTTCCCCCCTTCAAAGCTAGATGGTAGAACTAACACCCTGCTTGACAAGGTATTTGCGAAGAGGACGACGAGCGTTACCCATCTCGGATTCAGAAATCCAACTATCCTCGGAAGGATCATAACCCTTCCAGCGAATGAGAAGCTCCATGGTGCCATTCCGACGACGACGGTGTGCGAGCGCGGACTCGACCTCGTACTCGGGTTCATCGTGGACGAGAAAGGGCGGCGGCGGCGGGGGTTGGCGTCCGGTGAAGACCGTGTTAGGGTCTTGATAGGGCTTTAGAAGTTGGACATGCAAGGCGTTGTGAATCTTCTAGTTAGCTGGCAGGCGTATGCGGAAGGTAACAGGAGTGCCCTGTGCTTCAACGAGAAAGGGCCCACAGAAGCGATGTCGTAGTTTGGATGGGAGATGACTGATGTTGATATTGCGGGTGTCGAGTAGAACTTGTTGTAATAGTTCACGAAGCCTAGGAAACGCTGCAACTCCTTCACGTTCTCGGGTGTCTTCCACGTGCGTACGGCTTCGATCTTCTTGGGGTCAACGTGAACTCCTTGAGAGCTCACCATGTGTCCTAGGAATTGGACTTTCTCGAGGGCGAATTCGCTCTTGGATAACTTGACGTAGAATCGTTCTCGTCGAAGAATGTCGAAGACGCGTCGCAGGTGTTGGACGTGCTGCTGCATGTCGCGCGAGTAGATGAGGATGTCTTCCAGGTACACCACTATGCATTCGTCCAAGAGTGGGCGTAGAATATGGTTCATTTCAGCTTGGAACGTTGCCGGTGCGTTGGTGAGTCCGAACGGCATTACCAGATATTCATACGACACGTACCGAGTGCGGAAAGCAGTTTTGTGGATGGAATTGTCTGCCATTCATATATGCCAGTATCCGGACTGCAGATTCAGTTTGGAAAATACCGTGGCTCCCCGAAGCTGGTCAAGCAGGTCATCGATTCGTGGTATCGGATATTTATTCTTGATGGTCTGCTTGTTGAGAGCTCGGTAATCAATGCACATGCGCAGGCTTCTGTCTGGTTTCGGTGTGAAGAGTACTGGGGCACCATATGGCGAAGTAGATTGTCGGATGATTCCTTTCGCGAGGAGATACTCGATCTGTTTTTTCATGTCGGCTAGCTCCGTGGGGCTAAGCGGATATGGTGCTCGGAAGGTCGGCTTCGAACCTGGTTCTTCCACGATCTCGTGTTGGTGCATTCGGTATGGCGGCAGCTCGTTCGGAAGGTCGTCGGGAAGAATGTCCTCTAGTAATTCCTTGATGTTTTGTGGAGGTTCCGAGGCTTTCTCTCCGTCGCTTTCCACATCCGTTGCTATCACCAGGAACTCGGTGTCGGTTTGTTTTACGTCCTTCTCGAAACTTGCGAGCGTCTCCACTGGGATATATCTTGTATCGTCCTAGTTGGGTAGCTGGACTCTCCTTCCAGTGTTGTAGATGCTTGCGGTATGATTTACCCAGTCAAGCCCTTTTCTGTTGGTGATGGGGAACGCAGGTTTCCAACACAGTGGTCTGATTTGTATGTGTAACACTGCTTCACCGTATACTGGTAACTTGCTGCCGTCCACCATCGTTGCAGAGAATCCTGAAGGCTTGTACTCTTCCCGAAGTCGTTCGATTACTACTTTGTCGCAGACGGTGTGCGATGCTCCACTGTCCACGTGTGCTTGGGGGCGTTGTCCTTTGTAGATGACCTCGAGCACGAGGGGCGGGCGTTGCTCGGAGTACCCAAAGATAGTTCTGTAAATTGGATCATAGGGTACATCCCAATATTCCGTACGCACCTTTTTATTGCTATCTGCTCGTGGGTTAGCAGCTGGCCGAGGCTGCTTGGAGAAAGTTTCTCCCTCAGGACCCTGAGCTTTCTTGATGACTGTGTGTGTCGATGATGCCAAATTTGCTGAGCTGGATCACTTGCAAATTTTGTTTTTTGTCTTCAGATTGGCCAAAGAATTTCTGCCACTATTGCATGCCCGATACTCTGCTCGTGCGGCTTTTATTTTGTTGCGATCGAAGATTCGATGGCCGGCACCCCGCAAAGTTCACATGTGTAGTTGGTGTTTTTCAAACGTGGCCGCCCTTTGAACCTGTCGATTTCCATCGGGTCGGCGAACGTGGGGTGAGCCGAGCGGTCGCCCTGTCGTGTATTGCCGACGTGCACCCGTCGTGTTCGGACGTTGACCATGTCGAACCGCTCTGCTGCCGAAACGACGTCATTGTAGCTCGCATAATTTGTCGCTGCTACCTGTCGTTTGACTTTGGTCTTCAGCCTGACGAGATACGACTGTACTTTTTCCCCTTTGGTCTGGTCAGGAATGCGGTTATAAAATTCCTCCAACTGCAACGTATACTGCGCCACTCTCCCGATCTGTCGATGGCGATGAATTTTTTCCCAGGCAAGGAAACCCGAATTCATCAGCTCGAAGCATTTCAGCAGGTCGGTGCGAAACTGCTGCCACATGGCTTCGCCGTGGATGAAGGTGCTGTTACCGCCGATCCACTCGAGTGCCGGTTCTCACATCAGTGTCGCCGCGAGTCGTACGCGTTGACCGTCCCAGACTGGCGAGCTCCATCCGACAGCTGTGATGTAGATCTCCATGCCAGCGATCCATCTGCGGGCGTCGGAATTTCGATCGCTCGAATCAAATGGCTTAGGTGGGCGCTGTTTCGAAGCCTCGAGATACTGGTGCGACTGTTGCGTCGTTGCCGTTGTCGTGTCGCGGTGTGCGCCGGCGAGTCGAGTTACTCGCTCGAACTCATTTTGCCAAGCTTCGCGATCGGCTCGCATCTCCTCCTGAAGGGCGGCGATGCTCGCGAAGAGCTGCTGTGTAACCTCAGCATTGTCGAAGTTCGCCATCATGTTCAAAACACGCATGGAGGGGAGAATTCAAAAAACGCGGAGCTAGTGCTTACCAGAATCGGCACCGAATTAGTCGCCCCCGACGGTTTTTCGAGGCAAGGATTCCCGCTGCTTCTGCTTAGCTAAGCGCGGCTGAGTGAGAAAAGCTCTGATTACCAAGTGTTACAGGATCAACTGTCTCGTGGAAAAGTTGCACTATCGATTGATACAAGGCGTTTTTATACTTCCAAAAGTATATCTAATAGCCAAATTTATCCTATCCAAAGGGAATAGACCCTTCTAGAAATAGTATCACCCTGCGTATAGCCACGCGAGGCTATTGGATTTAAGGGATTACGGCAGGATTACGCTAGATTTAGCGCGCCAGTACATCCCGAGCCTGGTCGGTGATATAATTATAATAACAGGATAAACCAAAGGATAATGGAATAGGAGGAATAGGAAACCAAATGAGATGAGATAATAAGAGGAATGAAATAGAAAGGAGATATGGAAAGGAAAATTGGTGTAACAGGGTTGTACTTTTACAGAATGGCTGTTCTACCACCCGTCACACCACCGCATTTAATACTCTCCTGACGTTACCTTCGACGAGACGCTCCCCTACTACCGGCGCTTCCCGGACTGCAATGCTCCTATGCCTCCTCCTCCTTTCTTCTTGTCCCTGCCCCGCCTGGTGCACCCCTCCCGCCCTGCTCGTCCCAATCTGGTGTCTCCTATGCCACTCAGTTCCCCTCGGTTGCGCCTGTTGGGGAGTCGGCTGACTCTGGGGGCCCAGCTGCTAGGGGCGCGCCTGCTATCCCTGTGGCGCCTCCCCCAGCATCGGTACCCCAGGCACCTCAGCCGCCACCCTCCTTGCCTCAACAGCAGCAGACTCAGCGGCCACAGCAGCAACAGGGAGCAGAGGGCTCTGGGGGTGCCGGTTCTGGGGGGGCTGTTGTTGGCGGTGTTGGTGTTGGCGGTGTTGGTGTTTTGGTGTTGGTGTTGGGGGTGCTGGTATTGGTGGAGTTGGTGTTGGGGGTGCTGGTTCTGGGGGTGCGAGTTCTAGGGGTGTTGACTACGGGGTGCTGGTTCTGAGGGTGGTGCGTCCGAGGGTGCTCGTCTTGGGGGTGCTGTCCCGGGGAGTGCCGGTGGCAGCCGCGGTGCTGTTGGAGTTCCTGAAGAGGATAGGGAGCAGCCGCAGCAGCAGCCGCAGCAGCAATAGCAGCAGTAACAGCAGCAGGCACAGTCGCTGCTGCAGGAGCAGTCGCAGTCTGCCCTTCATCTCCTAGGTCTTGCTCCAGGCTACCCTGTCCGCCCGCCTGTTCCCCCTCCGGTGTGTGACCCTATTTACGACCTGTTTTTCCCTCCTCCAGACTCCTCTCCGGCTCGTTTTCCCTCGTGCTCCCCTCCGTCCTCTGACTGTCCCCCCGTTCCCCCTCATCCCCAGTCCCCAGTTCTTCCTCGCTGGGTCCGCCGCCCTTCTAGTGCTCGTCATGTCTCTTCCCGTCGTAGTGTCCACCCTATAGTTATCAGTTCTCCTACTTCTCCAGTCCCCGTACTTCCATTACCTCCTCCGTCATCGCGCCTGTAGTCCCCCCCTCCTCCCTCTGACGCTGCTCATACTGTTCGTCCTACCCTCTCACACTTGCTTGCGTGGCTTGTCACTGACCCTACTTCTCCTCCTGAGTCTGTCTCTGCGCTTGTCGCCGCTGTCGCTAAATTTGCTGCTCGCCACCACCTTGAATTTGCTACCTCTCTGGTCTCTGGTACTTTCCGTCCTCCGTCCGTCGGGGGTGCACCTACCCTTGGCAGTGACGTGCAAGTGGACAGGTAGTACGAGTTGGCCTGCCTTGCTGCTGCTGTTCCCCATCTCTGCTCCATGCTTGTATCCCCAGAGGGTGACCCAGATGTTCTCGACATCCTTGTTCCGTGCGCTTATGTTGAGGCGGTGTCGGGACCCTGGGCAGCCCAGTGGATTCAGGCCACAGAGGCTGAGATGGCATCCTACAAATCCACAGTCGCTTACGTCGACGTAGTTCCCCCGCTTGGGGCGAACGTAGTTGATGGAATGTGGATTTGCAGGGTGAAGAGCGCACCTGGAAAGCCACCGAAGGTCGAGGCGCGTTACGTGGCTAGAGGCTTTAGTCGGCGTAAGGGTGTGCACTTCTTCCAGACCTTCTCCCCGACCCCGAAGATGACTACTGTTCAGGTCCTTCTCCACATAGCTGCGCAGAGTGATTACAAGCTTCACTCACTCGACTTCTTCACAGCCTTCCTCCACTGTAGTCTGCACGAGCAAATCTACTTCCGATGCCCACTAGCCTTCCCTGGGTCCTTCCCACCTGGGACCCAGTGGAGCCTGCGTTGCCCTGTCTACGACCTTCGTCAGGCACCTCGTGAGTGGCACGACACACTTCACACCACTCTTGCCGAGTTGCAGTTCTTCCCGTCCTCTGCTGGCCCCTCTCACTTTGTTCGGTCAGGTCATACCCTGTTCTACATCCTAGTGTACGTAGACGATCTTATCTTTGCTACTCCTGACAGAGTCCCACTGGCCTTAGTGAAGGTCGAGTTGCCTAGGAGACACACCTGTACAGACTTAGGGGAACTGAGGCAGTATCAGGGCTTGGAGAAGTTTCATGACCGTGCCACTCGCACAATCACACTCTCCCAGTCCCATATGGTCCTCCACAGGTTCAGTCTCCAGTTCTCCTCAGAATAGCCCACTCTTTTGCTTGTGGATCATAAGCTCTCTTCTCCTGTTTCGGCTGAGCCGAATGAGGCTAGTGGTCCATACGCAGAGCTGGTGGGGTGCCTCATGTACCTGATGACCTACACTCGACCAGATGTAGCGTACCCCCTCAGTCTCCTGGCTCGCTTCGTCACGACAGGCAGGCACCAACCAGTCCACTGGTTGGCTGCCAAGAGTGTACTGCGGTATCTTGCGAGTACATCAGCACTGGGGCTTGTGCTAGGAGGACTAGAGCCAGTGGCGCTCACTGGACACACAGACGCGTCGTGGGCCGACGACTTGGAGATGCTCCGGTCGTCTTAGGGCTACTGCTTTAGTCTTGGTGCTAGTGCAGTCTCGTGGAGATCCACCAGGTCGTCATCTGTAGCTCAGTCCAGTTGTGAGGCAGAGATCTACGCTGGTGCCATGGCGGCACAGGACCTAACCTAGCACGTGATACCATCTTAAAGTACAAAAGTTACTAGAATTAGGCATACAGGTTCATGTTGTGCTTGTGTTGTATCCTCTAAGAGCATGCACCTACAGTATCTAGCCTATTGTAACATATACAATTATTTTGACAGACAATTAGTCCCACCCGACAACCGCAATTAGAACCCGCATCTGCTTCTACTCGATGGCCTGGGTGTTCACAATGCCTTCCACGTCAGCCTGCTTTGGCCATTCGTCAGCGGAAAATCGGACGTTGTTCATCAAGTCCATTATCCAAGTGTACCGGTACGACCAATCGACGAGCCTGCCATTGAGCTTATCCAAACCCTCGCCCATCACACTCGCTTTGATGCGTATTGGCTGCAACATTGAGTTCTTGGTTCGCTGGACCCATCGGATTAGCTGAGTCAACGCATAGGCTCATTTGACACCGCTAGAGTCACATTCGGTCCTTGTATATTATTTAGCCCGAAAAGTGTGCCATGTATAGGGTGAGCTTTCTTTGTGAAAGGGGGGGGGTGGGGGAGGATATCAAAGTCGCTAACCACTGTGCTAAAAGGGCTTGTTAATGTTGTGATATGATTGGTACTTAGCATTTCTGTAAGTCGATCAGGTGTAGTTAGTGTCGAATCTTACTGTAGAACATAAGTCCGTAGGATGACGTCAGCAAATTGTTCTAATTATATAAGTTATAATTTAATATAGGCTTGGTAGGTTGTTACTGAACCTTTCTGTAGGGGGTACAAACCCCTCCTTGTACTCCCCTCTCTTCTAATCCAACACCTTTTCTCTCCTCAACTTTCCTAGCACCTAAAACCTCTCGCCATTCTCATGGCTCCTCCTAGCTCCTAGCTAAACCTTGTGCCATTCTATGGCTTCCTAGCTAAGCTAGTTTCTGACATGGTATCAGAGCAGTTCGTTCCGCGTGGGCCTGCTCCTCGCGTTTCCGCTGCGTGCTCGTTTCTCTCTCTATCTCGCGCTGCCATGGCGGCCGCGTCAAGCTGCTGTGGCCGCGTCGTCGTGCCGCGGCGCCGCCGTCGACGTCCATGGCGCCCGCGTCCAGCTGCTGTGGCCGCGCCGTCGTGCCGCAGCTCCGCCGTCGCGTCAAGATGCTGTCGCGACGTGACGGCGGCGTCACGCTGCCGCGGCGTCTACGCGACAGCGCGCGGTCGGCGTAACGGCGACGTCGTGCTGCCGTCGCAACGTCGACGCCCCGCTGCGGCATCGACGCCGCTCCATGACGGCGTCGTCGGGCTGCAGCCGGCCGCGTGACGCTTGTGGCGCCGCTAGACCGGCCGCCCGCATGTCAGCCTGTGGCGCCCCCCCCCCCCACCCCCCTCCTTCCCTTGTGCCCTCTTCCATTCCGCAGACGACGGCTGACTCCCGCCGGCCGTCCCACCGTCGCGGGGCCTGGCCACGTCACCGAGAGGTGCGGGTGCCGCCGCCGCTGCCGCTGTTGTCGAAGCCGCCGCCGCCGCCGCTGTCGCCGCTTGCGTCGGGGCCACGCAGCCGCACGCCGCCGCCGCCGCCGCTGTCGACACTGCCGCCGTCGCCGCCGCAGCCCCTGCGGTCGACGTCACCGCCTCACGCGCCGTGGGGTCGACCGACCTAGAGTCGCTGTCACTGTGGCTGGAATGGGGGTGCTAGGTTAGGGGGTGTGGGTGTGTGTGGGCATGTGACTACCAAGCCTAGGGGGTGTGTTCAAATTATATAAGTTATAATTTAATATAGGCTTGGTAGGTTGTTACTGAACCTTTCTGTAGGGGGTACAAACCCCTCCTTGTACTCCCCTCTCTTCTAATCCAACACATTTTCTCTCCTCAACTTTCCTAGCACCTAAAACCTCTCGCCATTCTCATGGCTCCTCCTAGCTCCTAGCTAAACCTTGTGCCATTCTATGGCTTCCTAGCTAAGCTAGTTTCTGACACAAATAGCGCTCGTCATAGGACAGTCGTTTCAGTCACGCGAACAGTCGCACCTCTTCATTATCATCTAGGGCGCATAGCGCGATAAGTGGCAAACAGGTACATTAGCGAATAGGTACTTTTCGTAGAACTATAAATATCTGTCAGGTCTTTCCATTATTAACTTTGATTACAACAAGTTCACGTACTCAGGTTATAAAACCTTGACCTTTACATTTTACAAGACTTCCGCTGACTTACTAGTCTACCGTTCCAGCAAAGATCCTGGACCATCACTTGAAGATTTGCCAAGTGTTCGTGTTTATAGTTTTATACTTAGTCTACTACAACATCAGATGATTTACTTCAGTTAAGTAGCGGGTCAGCGCGCCCATAGCCCCCCAGGCATAGAGGCCTGTGGCCCTTATGTGGATCTGTAGGTTAACCCGAGTGTGTCATTCGACAGGGGAGTGTAGTGGAATTCGTCTTCGCTTACCAGGCTACACAGCTTCGCGTATGCCCAACATATTCAAGTTTTGGAGGCTTGCTCAGTGCTCACGCCTTTCGACCTTTAGACCTCGCCTGTCCCAAATTTCTACCAAGGTTCTTGTCTGGGTTACACACACGTGCTCCTAGATTAATCTAGGAATTCATTTTTAGTGCATTTTGTTAGTCTCATTTCCAAAATTAGAGTTATTTACGAATCAAAGATCTCTTGCTTCTCACTCATAAAAGCATTCGTGTTTATGGTGAAGGGAAATATTGCACATCACATAAGAAGGGAAGTTTGTCTCCTAAGAGTATCCAGTTAGAGTGTGATTTGGAAATGCTTGTAATCGTCGATGCAGTTGCCTGTAAAGGAGCCCTAAATCTTGTCATCTGACATGTCGTTTGCCAGTACAGTATGCAGTCTAGACTCGCAAGTCGTGTCTCTGCTCACTTTGTGGTTGACAGGTAAGGTTTCCCTTTCCACCTGAAGAATCGTTGGCCTGCTCGAGGGACCCCCAACAACCCAATAGCCCACAGTGACTCCCCCGCAGGTCGTGCGCAGGTTCAGGTGGTTACACCATCAGCACAGCCACCACCCCTCATCCACATTTCTCGGTCTCGGCCTTCGTCACCTTTTATGCAAACTGCACCACTCTCTTTGTATCCAGGAAGTTCTAAACTCACCCATCTCTTAACTACCTACAGCTTCTCAACCCTTACACAAACTGTAGTGAAATCTACCACTGTCGCAGTACACACAATGACGACGTTGTCCGTTCTAGTATGTCTGGCTCTCCTCTCCGTCGCCTCCGCGGAGGTTTGCCCCAAGTTCGAGTGCGGGCCTGGCAACTTCAAACAAGGCAAGTTCACGGATCCCACGGATCCGTACAAGGAGCCGGCGGACCCTCTGCACGAGGCGTACTTCACGCCGGGGCAGATGTACCAGTACGAGAAGTTCAACATTAGCGACGACCTGATCGCGACCCCGCAGCTGGACTGCTACAAGGTGTGTGAGTATTACAACATGCAGCTGCCCAGCAACGACAACTCGGCGAACAAGGCCAAGTACTGGATGTTCGAGGAGACGTGTCTGGACGCGACGGGCGGCATCTGCACGTGCTACAACAAGCTGCAGTGCAAGGACGACAAGAGCTACAGCAGCAAGTGGATGGAGCCGGCGCGCGGCGTGGGCACGGAGGACTACGAGGTGCCGGCCAACTTCACGGTGGGCGAGCTGTGCGAGGGCAAGGACAAGGGCGACCCGCACTTCACGGGCGCCGACGGGTCGCACTTCGACTTCAGCGGCAAGCCGAACCGCAACTACGCGCTGGTGTCGGACCCGCACTTCCAGATGAACGGCTTCTTCGGCGGGCGCTACAGCCGGTGGAACGGCGACGTAAAGGCGCTGACATGGATCCGGTCCGTGGGCATCATGGCGGGCCACCACACGGTGGTTCTGGAGGCGCGGCGCGGCGGCGACGCGGAGTACGGCAGCGGGTACCTGGCGCGCGTGGTGGCGGACGGCGCGGCGGTGGAGGTGACGGTGCCCGGCACGACGGTGCAGCTGTGGGACGGCGCGACGCTGAGGTGGGAGGCGGCGCGGTCGGTGAGCGGCACGGACCTGGTGGACGTGTACGACGTGAGGATCGAGGGCGTGGCCACCATCCGCCTGACGCTGAGGCCCGAGGTGAAGAACCTTCGCACGCCCACCGACGCCGCCGTGCACTTCGGCCTCGACGTCCTCTCCTCCTCCTTCTCCCACGCCGTGCACGGCGTCCTCGGCCAAACGTTCCGCCCCGACTTCCAGGGTCGATTGTAAGTCACGCCGCCCTTGGAGGCCTTCCGTCTGCGCTTTGCAGTCCCAGTCTTCGTTCTTTGCTTTTTTTTGGTTGTTTTTCCGCTTGTTTCTCGTGCGGTGCTAACGTGGTCTCCCCCCCCACCCCCCTGTTTTTTCGTTTCCCAGGGCCAAGCAGCAGCTGCAGTGGAGCGATCTGCTGCAGGTGATGGTGGTGCCGGGCGACAACGCGGAGGGGTTCATCGATGGGCGCATGGACGACTACGAGGTGGCGGACCTTCTCAAGGCGGACTGCAAGCTCTGCCGCTTCACGCGCGCACAGGCCGTGGACGAGGAAATGTCCATCGCCATGAACATGATGGGCAGCGCCACTGGCGGAGGCCTGCCCGCTGCTCCCCGGAAATACCTCGCGCAGAGCTTCTAAGCCATCTGGACGTTTCAATGCTGGTGCTGGCATGTATCATGGACTACCTTGCTGCCTTGTAAACTACACGATGAGCGCCATGATTTGCGCCATCACAATTGAATAATTAATTTTCTGTATCTGATGCCGTTGTCCCGCTAGAAGCACATAATGATATTATGGGCATGGAGACCTAGTGAGCGGCTACCCTGCTTGGTTTGTAAAAATTCTCCAGCTGGCGTCAGGGTTTAGGGAGTGAGCAGCCAAAGTGAACTACATTTGAAATGCAGTATGCTGTAACGCATCAACATTCACCGTCTTAGGCCTTATTTGGATTTGTGTATTTGAAAATAACATTCCTGAATAAGGCATGTGCTGTATGCTGAGAGTAGAGGAAGCTACCAGCGCGGTTGCACAAATACTTTTGTCGCGCCTCCACCACACAGGCTCTCCCCTTGGAACCTCAGCTCGCCTGAGGGGGACAGCTGAAGTTGAGGGCGAGTGTTGTGTCGTCTGCCAAACGTAACACCCTGGACTGGACGAGCTGTTCCGAAACTTTCTCGCTCCATCTGACCGTCGATTCGAAGTGCCATCTCATCGTTGTCATCGGAACATTTTTTGCTTCTCCACGTGGTGAGCATCCACAGGTTTAGCTCAAACCGCCGAAGCTCACTTGGTCCACCCTTCGCCACAACACATGTGGGCGACTCGAGTTATGACCCTCGCGATTCGGCTCCGTCTTATCAAACTTCCTTCCCATAATCCTTCTCATTAGTTAGTGCGCTTGCCTCCAGTTCCAGTTTCTAACGCGAAAACGTAGTACTTGTGAAAACCTTCAAATTTGCTCAATGCTGGACTTGAGGACAGGAGCAGCATTTCGTTGATTAGCACAAATCGCCTTTGCAGGTCACTGAACGCTCATCGCTCCATTATTTTTTTTCTCGCTTGGACGGAACCTGGTGTTTCTCCCGCCGTCCTCCGCTCAACAAGCATCCGTTCCTGCATTGCTAACGGCTCCACATGGGCCGCTCCCTGTTAAAGCAGGCGGCTCGCCTAACGCTCCTAATCCTGCTCTCAGCCTCCATCGCAAATGCTTTACTCTGCCCAAACTTCCAATGCGGCGAGGGACTATTCACGCTAGGGAAATTCTTAGATCCAAACACGCCGTCGGATGTCTTTCTCGAGCCAAGTGACCCTCTGGTGGAGGCGTATTTCTTTCCGGGGCAGATGTACAACTACAACCAGTACAACATCTTCGACGAAATGCTTAGCGATCCGTACACCGACTGTTACAGGTTCTGCGCGGGTTACAACTCGAAGCTGCCGGCCGACGCGGGCAGCGCTGCCGGCGGAGGCCTGCCCGCCGCTCCCCGGAAATATCTTGCGCAGAGCTTTTAGATAATGCTATGTGCAGTGTCCAATTGTTCATTTTGTTATATTATATTAATTCCTTCGATTTGTAATCAAGATTGAGATATAAGTTTTGAAATATAATTAAACGGGTATGCAGTTAGAGTGGATCGCAGGTCCACAGGCCGGCCACTTAGTCCATTCATTTATAGATCACAATCAAGAACAGCACACGAGTAGTAGTGATCCGATTACGCTACATAGTCGGCTACAATGCTTGTTGCTGCACGTAACACAATCGTGGCCTTCTGAGCGTAGGGCGAGATCACAGTGGCCGCTGCAAAAATTTCCACAGACTAAGATAAGTGATTGGCAACGGTATATTCTGTATATGTTATAAGCTAGATAGGTGCATGCTCACACTGAGCACAACACCTTAGGTTATATTCCCTTGTACCCCATCAATCTAGTCAATTTCTTATTCTGAGATGCTATCACGCTAGGTTAGGATCCCTCCCACCCGCGCTTCCGCCACCATCCTAGCCCTAGCCCAAGCCGCCCGTCGCTAGCTGCATGTAGAAGTTGTTCAAATTATATAAGTTATAATTTAATATAGGCTTGGTTAACAAACCTAGAATTGAATAATGTGAGAGAGAGAGTACACAAACATATACCTAAATATTGTACTCTCTGTTAAAATTATATAAGTTATAATTTAATATAGGCTTGGTAGGTTGTTACTGAACCTTTCTGTAGGGGGTACAAACCCCTCCTTGTACTCCCCTCTCTTCCTCATCCAACCACCTTTCTTCTCGACATTCCCTCCCTTCCTAGATCCGTTTTTCCTCACGCCATTCCATGGCGGTCTTCTTCCTAGTATCCTAGCCAACCTAGCCTCATAAGTTTAAGAACCTTTAGTCCTAAGTTTCTAAGATGGTATCAGAGCCGGTCGTGTCCACCGGACCCTCTCCCTACGTTCCCGTTGCGTACTCCTACTGCATTCGCAGCCTTCGCGGTTTTCTGCCAGCCTGCCGTCGCGGCGCCAGGATGTCGCGACGGCCTCTTGGTGCCTGCCGTCGCGGCACTAAGTTGTCGCGACGGCCCCTTGTTGCCTGCCGTCGCGGCGCCAGGATGTCGCGACGGCCCCTTGTTGCCTGCCGTCGCGGCACCAAGATGTCGCGACGGTCCCTCGTTGCCTACCGTCGCGGCGCCAAGGTGTCGCGACGGCCCCTTGGTGCAGCCGTCGCCCCTCCGCCTCGCCGCTGCGACATTGACGGTGCGCTGTGGCGGCGTCTGCGGCAGCCGACGGCATCGTCGGGCTGCGGCCGGCCGAGCGACGTCTGTGGCGTCGCCGGGCCTGCCGCCCGCTCGCCACAGACGGGCGTCCCTCAGGACGACGTCCTCCCGCCAGTAAGCGCCGCGCCATTTATGGCGCGTCGCTGAAGACTCGCCTCGCCCCGCCCCCTCCCCTCCCCCCCCCCACCTGCACCTGCTTCCCCTGCATCCCCCCCTTTCTTGCTGCAGCCGATGACTGCCATGTGAGGGACCTCTCCACCGCCGAGGAGACAGGACATGCCGCCGAGAGGGCGGGGGCCGCCGCACCAGCCTCTGTCGTTCGAGCCCCCCGGCGCCGCCGCTGTTGCCGCAGGCCTGGAGCCGCCGCACACCGCCGCCGCCGCCGCTGTCGTCACTGTCGCTGCTGCCGCCATTGCCGTCTCAAGGGGCCGTGAGACCTACCCTCTTTCGGAGTCGTTTCGGCTGCTGCTGGGAATGGGGGTGCTGGGCTAGGGGGTGTGGGTGTGGGTGTGGGTGTGGGGGTGTGCGTGGGCTTGACACTACCAAGCCTAGGGGGTGTGTTAAAATTATATAAGTTATAATTTAATATAGGCTTGGTAGGTTGTTACTGAACCTTTCTGTAGGGGGTACAAACCCCTCCTTGTACTCCCCTCTCTTCCTAATCCAACCACCTTTCTTCTCGACATTCCCTCCCTTCCTAGATCCGTTTTTCCTCACGCCATTCCATGGCGGTCTTCTTCCTAGTATCCTAGCCAACCTAGCCTCCTAAGTTTAAGAACCTTTAGTCCTAAGTTTCTAAGACTCTCTAGAAGGTGACCCTATACAGTCTATACAAACATGATAACTACACATGTTTGACACACCCCCTGGACTGCATAGGGGAATGTTCTAGACAAGTAGCTCAGGGTGGCGCTACTAGTCCAGCCTCTGAGACAAGGGTCTAAAAGACCAGTCAGAAGGAGTACAGACAAGGCAAGAACGAGTACAGGGCGGCACTACTAGTCCAACCACTGTGAGAGGACACAAGTCCAGTCTGAGTGTATACATATATATATATACGACAGTACAAAGTCAAGGCCCGAGTAAGTGAGAGACTACAGGAACCAGACCAAGCTGTAAACAGTGCCGCTGATGATCTTTAGGCGCAAGCGCCTTCGTAAAGATATCAGCTGTGTTGGCACCGGAGGCCAAGTGTACTACGCGAGCCTGGCGCCGCTGCTGTAGCTCGCGCAGGAGGAAGTACCGCAGCTGGATGTGCTTCGCTCTGCCCTCGAGTCGAGGCTCCTGACACAGGAGAATCATGGCCCTGTTGTCAGCGTACAGGACCGGGGCAGAGCTAGGCCGCTCACCTAAGTCAGTGAGCAAGAAGGTCAGCCAGCGGAGCTCCTGTGCCGCCATGGCACCGGCGTAGATCTCAGCCTCACAGCTGGACTGGGCAACCGACGAGGAGCGGGTAGCTCTCCACGAGACAGCACCTGAGCCAAGGCTAAAGCAATAGCCCTGGGAAGACCTGAGGGTATCGGCGTCGTCTGCCCAAGAAGCGTCTGTGTGTCCAGTAAGGACCACTGGCCTGCGTCCGCCTAGCACTAACCCCATGCCCGATGTACTTGCAAGATAACGCAAAACCCTCTTAGCGGCAGACCAGTGCTGAGGTCGGTGTCTGCCTGTGGCCACAAAACGAGCCAGGATGCTGAGAGGGTATGCGAGATCTGGGCGAGTGCAAGTCATCAGGTACATGAGGCAACCCACTAGCTCAGCGTAAGGACCACTGGGATCTACCGACTCCTCAGGAACTGGAGCGGAGAGTCTGTGGTCCAGAGGAAGAGGGGTGGGCTGTGCGGAGGAGAACTGAAGGCCGAACCTCTGAAGGACCTGGCGCACCAAGTGTGACTGAGTCAGGGTGATGGTGCGCGCGGCTCTGTCCCTGGAGATCTGCAAGCCAAGGTAACGGCGCAGCTCTCCAAGGTCAGTGCAGGTGTGTCTCTTCAGCAGCTCTGCCTTCACGGAGGCCAGTGCGTCCCTGTCAGCTGTGGCAAAGACCAGGTCGTCTACGTAGACGAGGATGTAGAACGGAGTCGAGCCAGCACGAACGAAGAGCGAGGGGTCTGCAGAGGACGGAAAGAACTGCAGGTCAGCAAGAGTAGCACGCAGCGTGTCGTGCCACTCACGAGGCGCCTGGCGCAGGCCGTGGACTGGGCGCCGCAGAAGCCACTGGGTCCCAGGGGGGAAGGTGCCAGTAAAGCCCTGAGGACGACGCAGGTAGACCTGCTCATGAAGGCTGCCCTGAAGAAAGGCAGTGGAGAAGTCGAGGGAGTGAAGCTCGTAGTTACGCTGAGCCGCTACGTGTAGCAGAACCCGAAGAGTAGTCATCTTCGGGGTAGGAGCGAAAGTCTGAAAGAAGTCCACCCCCTCGCGCTGACTGAAGCCTCTAGCCACGTAACGCGCCTTGAACACAGGCGGCTCTCCAGAAGGGCGCTTCACCTTGAAAAGCCAACGGCCATCGACCACGTTCACCCCAGGTGGGGGAACTGCGTCGACGAAGGTGCCGGTGGATCTCCAAGATGCCATCTCCTGCTCCATGGCAGCTATCCACTGAGAGGCCCAAGGTCCCGAAACCGCCTCAGCGTAAGTACGAGGGGTTGGGATGTCAAAAGCGTCTGGGTCACCCTCAGGGACTAGCAGCATGGAACAGAGATGGGGAGCAGCCTCGGACAGGAAAGCAAGCTCGAACTGGTGGTCCTCCAGGACGTCACTGCCGAGGGCAGGAGCACCCCCGACAGACGGAGGACAGGCAGGGTCAGAGACCAGAGCGGAGGCGTAGTCAAGGCGGCGGGTAGAGGCGAAGTCAGCGACCGCAGCGACAAGGGCGTCAAGACTCGACACTGGAACAGACGGGTCGGTAACGAGAGAGGCAAGGACCCGAGGAACAAGAGGACGAGCGGCACGAAAGTAGTCAGACAGAGGAGGAGACGCAACGACAAGAGAGGACGGAGGAGGAGACGGGAGGAGGGGAGGACGAGACGCGTGGGAGCGGAGCAACATAGGGTGAGTGCGCGGGACGGGGGAGACAGGACGAGCACGGGAGGGGCGGCGAGACCAGACGTGAGAGGGCGGCGTCGGGTCAGGAGACAGAGGAGGGGACACGGGTGGGGAACGAGGGGGAAAACGAGCCGGGGACGAGCCCGGCGGAGGGAACACAGGGCCGTAGACGGGAAGAGGGGGAGACGGCCGGGGAGGAACAGGCGCAGGGTCAGGGGACGGAAGGCCGAGCAGACGGAGGGCGGACACCGGCGGGGACTGCTGCTGCGGCGACACAACACCAACGCCAGGGCCACAAGCTGCGCGACGGCTACCTCCCGAACCCTCCACACCGGCACCCCCAGAAGGGACACCACCAGAGCCCGAAACACCGCCAGCACCGGTACCACCCCCAGGCCCGCCGGGACAAGCCACGACAGGAGCCCCGGGACTAGTACCCACCTCAACTCCAGCACCCCCAGAGTCCACAAACAGCGGCAGCGACGACGGCGGCGGCGGCGGCGGCGGCTGCAGCGACGGCCTCGACGGCGGCGGCGGCGGAGACGACGGCTGCAGCAGCTGCGGCGACGGCGGCTGCGGAGGCGGTGGAGGAGGAGACACCGGGGGAGGGACAGACGGCGAGGACTGCGCCAAAGGACTACCAGAGTCAGAAGACTCGTCGACCGGAACGACCGACGGGAGGGGGGTGACGTGAGACACACCAGAGGGGGCCGGACGGGGGGGCAGGGGGGGGGGAGGGGCAGGGGCCACCAGGGAGGGAGGAACCAGGAACAGGGGGGGAGTAACCGGGGGACCACGGTGGGGAAAGCGGCGGAAGAAGGA